GGGTTTCACCATGTTGGCCAGGCTGGTCTTGAACTCCTGATCTTAGGTGATCTGCCCACCTGGGTCTCCCAAAGTGCTGGGATTACAGGTGTGAGCTATCGCACCCAGCCTCTTTTTATTATTTATAATTCTTTATTCTGTGTGTCAGGAATTCAAGTGTGGCTTAACTGAGCAGTTTTAGCTTGAGGTAGTTCATGAGGTTGAGGTCAAATATGAGTGTGGGCTGCAGTCTTCTGAAGGCTTTCCTGGAATTGGAGGAAAATAATATATAATAATAAATAACTTATTCACATGGCTGGCAAGTTGATGCTGGCTGCTGGCAGGAGGCCTCAGTTCCTTTTCACATAGGCCTCTACAGAGGGCTACTTGAGTTACTTCATGGCCTGGTGGCTGACTTCCCCAGAGCAAGCAGGTGAAAGCTACAATGCCTTTCATAATCTGGTTTCAAAATAACACATCCATCTCCACCATATTCTTTTGGTCACAGAGAACAGCTTTGATTCATAGTTGGAGGGAACTATACAAGGAAGTGAGAATCACTGAGGGTCATCTAGGGGACTGGTTACTATAAAGAGTAAAAAGGCAAGTCACGGTGCAAGAATATGTATTCATAACACAAATAACTGACAAAGGATAATGTCAAAAATACATATAGGGCCAGGCACAGTGGCTCATGCCTGTAATTCTAGTGCTTTGGGAGGCCTAGGTAAGAGGATCACTTTAGGGCAGGTGTTTGAGACCAGCCTGGGCAACATAGTGAGACCCCCCCCCACCATCTCTATGGTACAGTTTGACAGGTTCTTCTTGCCCACCACCCAGAAAAACAATAAATACACAGAGAACAGCAAGAGTTGCAGCAAAGAGTTTAATTATTTCAAGGCAGCTGAGCAAGAAAACCAAAGATAATTCTCAAATCTACCTCTCTGAGAATTTAGAGGCCAGGGTTTTTCAAGGATAGTTTGGTGGTCAGGAGGCTAGGGGGTGGGGAACACTGACTGATTGGTTGGGTTGAGGATGAAATCATAGGGGATTGAAACGGCCTTCTTGCAGTGAGTCAGTTCCTAGGGGAGGTCACAAGACCAGTTGAGTCTGGCTACTGCATTCCAGCCTGAGTGACAGAGTGAGTCCCTGTCTCTTTAAAGAGAAAAAAAAAGAAAGAGAACATATGAAGATCTCCTACAAATCAATAAAAAGAAAACACTATAGAAAAATGAGTAAAAGTAAATTTAAAAGTAATTTTAAAAAATGAGTAAAAGACATGAACAGAGGAACTTTACAAAAAAACAATGCAAATGACAAATACATTTATGGAAGGTACTCCATTTTATTAATCTTGTAGAGAAACATGAAAGAAAACTATGATGAGATGCCATTAGACCTCACCAGAAGGACTATCATTTAAAAGTCTGAAAATACTAAATATTGACAGAGACGTAGAACAAAGGAAACTCTAATGCATCACTGATGTGAATGTAAATTGGTACAGTCATTTTAGAAAACAGTTTGGCCTTAATCTAGTAAAGTTGAAGATATGAACATCTTATGACCCAGTATCTCTACTTGTAGAAAATATACCATGTAGAATTGAGAGCACATATGCACCAATGTTCACAGCGCACTGTTTATATTAGCCCCTAACTGGGGGGAAGAGGGATGTCCACCGACAGTTGAGTGGACAAATTGTGCCACAATAGTATAGGGAAAACTGTAAGTCAGTAAAATGGATGAATTACAGCAACAGGAAAAAGCAGCCAGACAAAATAATATATATTGTATGGGTCCATCTAAATGAAGTTGAAAAACAGGTAAAATTAAACTAACAGGTACAGGAAAACATGCTTAGGAGGTAAAACTCTACAAAAAAGCTAGAATGCAATTTAGCATAATTCCAGAGTAGTGGTTACCTTTGGGGTTGGGGAGAAGGTTATGATTGCGGGGGAAAGTCTAGGGCTCCCAAGGAGCTGACCATGCTGTTCTTGATGTCCATGTGGTTTTATAAATGTTCATTTTCTAATGATTGGTGACATTTTTAATGTGTGTTTATGTGCATGTTTTTTTCTCACAATGAACAAGCAAAAAGTAATAATACACAAAGTTATGGTATTGTGAGGGATAAATATATAAAGCACTTAGCTTAGTGCTTAGTACATGGTAGAAATTCTTCATAGATGAATTTTTTCACTCTCTACATAGTGTTAGTAGTTTCTAACTTTATGGGGGAAGTGATGATACTGGTTTTTGCTCCACGGCCAGTAACTATCTGTAGAATTAATGCTGTCTCTTTTCTTGGAGAGTGAAACTTGGTGGGCAGTCAGTAAAATGTTATATTTGCCACCCTTTTCTCCATGTCTAGATTTGGGCATTAAGATGGTTGGCCAACATTTTGGTTGTGGTCATGGGTAGGTGCTGAGAGCCACCTGAGAGCAGGGGGAGGGCAAAGGCCCAGATTTTAGTCCTGAGTCCAGTCATCCCTGCACTGAGAGTCACCATTTCTCTTTGGCCTTCACAGGAATCCACCTCCTGACCACTGGGCTTTAGTAAGCGGGCTCCCCACTTATGTTGCCCAAAATGGCCTGGTAAGTAATACAACTTTCAAGGGGGAGAGTTTTGGATCAAGTGGTAGGAAGAGTGGAAGGATTTCAGATCAAGAGGGTGGAAAAGATAATGGCAAGTGTGGCTCTCAAAAAATCTGATTCTCTTGTTTCTCTCAATTCAGTTGGCAATTGGTCTAAATGAATGAACAGAGAATTGACATTTGAGGAAATATCAAAGGCACAGATAAATAATCCTTAGGTGGAAAGGTGCATAGTCTTGGCTGGGCACAGTGGCTCATACCTATAATCCCAGAACTCTGTGGAGCCAAGGCAGGTGGATCACCTGAGGTCAGGAGTTCAAGACCAGCCTGGCCAACATAGCAAAACCTCATCTCTACTAAAAATACAAAAATTTGCTGGGCATGGTGGCGAGTGCTGGTAATCCGAGCTACTCGGGAGGCTGAGGCAGGAGAATCACTTTAAACTGGGAGGCAGAGGTTACAGTGAGCCGAGATCAAACCATTGCACTCCAGCCTGGGCAACAAGTGACAGTCCATTTCAATAATAAATAAGTAAATAAAGTAAAATAAAATAAATATGTCTTAGGCAGCTGGGGTCATAAAAGTAGGTTCCAGGTGGAAGGAAGAACATGGGCAAACAACGTGGGCATGGAGGCCTGGAGCAGTGTGCTGTGTGTGGTTAAGTGTGGCTGAAGTATTAGAGTTGAGACAGGAAGACAGCAAAAGATGAGGCTCAAGAGGGAGGAAGGCGTTAAATTACAGCAGGCCTTGGATGGCTTGCCTAAATGGTGGAATTTTTTTTTTTTTTTTTTGAGACAGTGTTTTGCTCTGTTGCCCAGGCTGGAATGCAGTGGTGTGATCTTGGCTCATGCAACCTCTGCCTCCCTGGTTCAAGCGATTCTCATGTCTCAGCCTCCGGAATAGCTGTGATTACAGTCGTGCGCCACCGCACCCTGCTATTTTTTGTATTTTTAGTAGAGAAGGGGTTTTGCCATGTTAGCCAGGCTGATCTTGAACTCCTGGTTTCAAGTGAGCCACCATGCTCATCCATAAAAGGTGGGACTTTAATCTACAGGTGACAGGTCACATAGTCAATTTTCATTTTAGAAAGATAACTCTTGCAGGGCATGGTGATTACCACCTGTAATCCAAATCCCAACATTTGGGAGGCTGAGCCAGGAGGATCACTTGACCCCAGGAGTTTGAGACTAGCCTGGGCAACACAGTAAGACTCTGTCTCTACAAAAAATTAGCCCACAGTCCAGCTACTCAAGAGGCTGAGACAGGAGTATCTCTTGAGCCCAGGAGTTCCAGGCTGCAGTGAGCTATAATTGCACCACTGCATTTTAGCCTGAGCAACAGATGGAGAACCTGTCTTTAAAAGAAATAAATAAAAAGAAAGAAAGATGACTCTAGCAGCTTCCTGGAAAGTGGATCTGAAGGACTAAGACTGCAGGCAAAGTACCAGAGCATCATTTAAGTAAGAGGTGATGAGAATTTCAACAAAGACAGGTTGAGTAAAGAATACTATCATTTGGCTGGCCATGGTGGCTCACACCTGCAATCCCAGCACTTTGGGAGGCCGAGGTGGGCGAATCACCTGAGGTCGGGTGTTTGAGACCAGCCTGACCAACATGGAGAAACCCCGTCTCTACTAAAAATACAAAATCAGCTGGGTGTGGTGGCACATGTCTGTAATCCCAGCTACTTAGGAGGCTGAGGCAGGAGAATCCCTTGAACACAGGAGGCGGAGGTTGAAGTGAACCAAGATTATGTCATTGCACTCCAGACTGGGCAACAAAAGTGAAATTCCATCTCAAAAAAAACAAAAGTGCTATGATTCTTGCTAACAGCCACTGGGTGCTTACAATGAGTCAGGCACTACCTAAATTTAATACTCACAACAACTTTGACAGAGGCAAGAACACAAGGAGGGAATAATGGGTCAGGTCTAATATTGAGAGGATGAGGCTGGCAGGGCTTTGTGATTGATTGTAGGCAGAGCAGGGAAGAGAGGAGTCAAAGCTAATTTCAGGCTTCTAGCCTGGATGGATAGTGCTGTCATCAGGCTTGGATGTAAGATGACGAAGTCAGTTTCAGACACGCAAGTTTCAGTGTCACACAAGAAAGTGTGACATTTTTTAGGAGCAGATGTCCAGCAGGTAGATGAAGAGACAGTTCGGATGCTGGGGAGAGAGAGGAGTGTTGGAAACAGAGATTTGGAAGATATCAGAGCCAGATGGTGTTTGAAATTATGAGTGTAGAGGAAGCCACCTAGGGAGAGGCAGATAGGCAGTGGACCCAGGGTGCAATACTGGAGGATGTTGGCCTCTACAGAGTGGGTGGAGAAAGAGGAGTGTGTGATGGAGAAACAGAAGGGAGGTTCAGAGGTGTTTGGAGACCCAGGAGAGGGCAGTGTCATGGAAACCAAGGAAGTAGAAAGTTTCAACAGGGAGAGAGATAATGACATGCAGCAGAGTGAACTGCTGAGATAAGAACTGAAAACCCCATTGGGTTTGGCACTGAAGAGATTATTGGTGGCCCTCCGTGAAAATGGAGTTGGTGGCAAGTTGGGAGCAGAACCAGCACGTGGTTTGCTGAGTAGTGGATGGATAATGAGAAGAGAAAGAATGCAAAAGGAAAGAGAATGCCTGGGTGGCTGCTATGGGGACCACAAGGGATACAGGAAGGATTTCATTTTCAAGCATGAGAGACTCCAGCATGCTCACAGATGGGAGGATAGAGCCCTCAAAGAGCTCTAAGCTCAGCAGACAATGATGGCAACTGATAGAGCTGGTGGAAGGAGAGGTCAGAAGGCTGGCGCAGTGAGCGGTCAGTCTTTGGACAGGAGCAGGGACAGCCCACTCACTGAGACCACAGACAGCCCACTCCTGTGTTGTCAGGCACGTTACTGCAAGTCGAGGTGGTGCCTTTTTGAGAACTAGAAGGAACCATTTCTCAAAGGATGACTAGAGAAAGTTCGGCGTCATGGTGCTGCAAGCTGACCACAGGCTGGATTTCAGCTCCCAGTCTCCCCTAGGCCAGATGCTTATGTGCAGTCAACATGCTACATAACCGTACACAGTGGCCCCATAGTGCTCTGGGGAGATCAGATAAGTGTCATCTGATTCCTTACCAGTAGGTCAACTGGTCCAACTTTCAGGAGAGGAATCTAGCCATATACAGCCAGAGCTACAACACTTTTCATTCATTATTCTACTTTGGGATTTATACTCCAAGGAAAAACTCCTACCTGCCCAAACAAAACAGAAGCCAAATGTAGTTGAGTCAAATATATTTAGAGTAGCATTATTTATATTAATTTAATTTAATTATTTTTTTTTTTTTGAGACAGGGTCTCACACTGTCGCCCAGGCTATAGTGCAGTGGCTAGATCTCGGCTCACTGCAGGCTCCGCCTCACAGGTTCAAGTGATTCTCCCCCCTCAATATCCAGGGTGCTGGGATTACAGGCATGTACCACCACCCAGGTTAATTTTTGTATTTTCAGTAGAAGCAGGGTTTTACCACATTGGCTGGGCTGGTATTTATAACTTAAAGACCATGGATACAACCCAAATAAGCAAGAAAAGGGGAACAACAAAATGGGACACTCTCCAGCTACTCGTCATCACAAGGTGTAGCCTTAACTTTTTCAAAGTTTGGAAATGATTCAAGAGTGGAGCAAACTGTAAAAAGAAATGTTTATAGGGTGACCTTTCTATCTAGTAGCCTCAGTCAATAATTCCAAATTTTCTCAACTATGTCTATCTAATAAAAAGAATGTGAATGCCTTGGGCAAGGACATGGTGTTATTGGAGATGGTATGCAGTGCTTCACTGGGCGCTCTCTCTGGCCTAATCACACGTTCATTATTCCCCTTCACGGCTCTCAGATTTGCAACATCATGAATGCGCCCGCGGAGGACTTTTTTGCATTTCAGGTAAGTCATTTTTTATTGCTGTCTTAGTCACATGATTTTTTCCCCCCTACCCAAAGAGCATTAGAATACATTAGAATCTAACTGCTCTGCTGGGAAGCAGCCTCAACAAAGTGAACATGTGACAGGAGAAAAGACCTGTGCCAGTGGAAATGGGGACGGGGTTAACCGGGTAATTTCCAAGGTCAAGGTCCTATTCAGTTTTAACATTCACACCCTTTGCTTTCTGGCCGCAGAATCTATCCCCCCTGCCCCACCACAAGATATACAATATATAATATACAAAAGCTCCAAAGTTTCACGATCAGATTCAGACATTAAAGTTGTATTTCAATAAATATAATCAAAATGCCACTTTGCCAGGTATTTTGTTGTTGTTGTTTTCTTTGTCTTTTTTTTTTTTTTAAGAGAGGGTCTCACCCTGTTGTCCAGGCTGTAGTACAGTGGTGCAATCATAGCTCATTGCAGCCTCAACCTGGTGGGCTCAAGCCAAGCTCCTGCCTCAGCCTGCCAATCAGCTAGACTACAGGAGTTCACCACTGTGCCTGATTGGCCTCAGCACCTTTGCTTACACTGTTCCCCATCATCTCCTGCTCAAATCCTGCTCTACCATCTCCTGTGAAACTTACGTGTGGGCCATAGAGAAAGGGGAGAAGATTGTAGGAAAGAGATGTTGAAATCCTCTCTGCCCTTCAATGACAACCTCAAATGCCATCATTTCTATTAAGTTTTATTCTCTGGCTGAATATCATTTCTCTCTCCTTGTAATTTTTATGGAATATTGTTTCATATTCCATTTGATTTTTTTTTTTTTTTTTTTTTTGAGACAGAGTCTCACTCTGTCACCCAGGCTGCAGTGCAGTGGTGCGATCTCGGCTCATTGCAAACTCTGCCTCCTGAGTTCAAGCAATTCTCCTGCCTCACCTTCCCAAGTAGCTGGGATTACAGGTGCCTGCCACCACACTTAGCTAATTTTTTTTTTTTTTTTTGAGACAGAGTTTCGCTCTTGTTGCCCAGGCTGGAGTGCAATGGCGCGATCTCGGCTCACCGCAACCTCCGCCTCCTGGGTTCAGGCAATTCTCCTGCCTCAGCCTCCTGAGTAGCTGGGATTACAGGCATGCACCACCATGCCCAGCTGATTTTTTGTATTTTTAGTAGAGACGGGGTTTCACTATGTTGACCAGGATGGTCTCGATCTCTTGGCCTCGTGATCCACCCGTCTCGGCCTCCCAAAGTGCTGGGATTACAGGCGTGAGTCAGCTAATTTTTTGTATTTTTAGTAGAGACTAAGTCTCCCCGCCTCCCAAAGTGTTGGGATTACAGGTGTGAGCCACTATGCCCAACCTTCCATGTGATTTTGTCTTTTTTTTTTTTAAACAAATGTTTTGTGGAAGATATCATCTGTGATGGCATTGGCAAAACGTTACACTTGCTACAGTGGTGGACCAGACAGGCATAGTCTTTGTCTCCATGAAGCTCATGATTGCATGGGGAAAGAGGCGGGAGTGGTGGTTAGCAGAAGGGCAGCGGGAGAGGAGGCGACCTCTCTGGAGATTCTGACTTAATCTGGAAGGAGTCAAGAAATGTGCCCCCGAAACTTATGTATGGGCAATAGAGAAAGGGGAGATGATTGCAGGAAAGAGATGGCTTATTGGGGTGAACTAGAATAAGCCAACAAATCTGAGTGAGAAACTAAGGGGGAGATTGACAAGAGAAGATTCTACAGAGGGGAACAGAGGTCAGATTTCGAAGGGCCTGGAAAGGCACACCAAGGAACTTGTGTCTCTTACGTATTTTCCTTACTTCATCTTTTATTATCCTTGCCTCTGTGTCAGACTAATTCCTCTTAGTAAAATGTGGCTTCCTTCGGTCAAGGTTGGGTCTTATCTTTCTTGACATCCTCAGCTCCAGGGCCCTGTCAATATTGACTTGGTTTAGCATGCTAGGCTAAACAAAGAAAAGAAAAACAAATCATTATCAATCAGGAAATAATTCAGAGGGAAACAAAAATGGCTGAGAAAAGTCAGAATTATTTTTTTACTCCTTCAAGAATATTATGAAAAAGCTTAGCAACAAAATAGTTCCAAAGTGAAAATTGGACTTCATGTGATGTGATTTTGACCACATCAATGCGACAAGCCCAAAGACTTGCTGAGAGTTGCTAACCTGACCACAACCGCAGCAGAACGTGGTCTTTGCTCAAGTCATCCACTGGATTGCGGTTGAACTATGTTAGTAAAGCAAATTTAATCTTGTTTTCAGATTCTGGTCTTCCTCCTCCAACTCATCCTCCACAAGGTAGCCTAAGTAACTTTGTTTTTTTGGGACGGAGTTTCACCCTTGGTACCGAGGCTGGAGAGCAATGGCACAATCTTGGCTCACCGCAACCTCCACCTCCTGGGTTCAAGTGATTCTCCTGCCTCAGCCTCCCAAGTAGCTGGGATTGCAGGCATGCACCACCATACCCCTGACTAATTTCATATTTTTAGTAGAGAGGAGGTTTCTCCATGTTGGTCAGGTTGGTCTCGAGCTCCCAACCTCAGGTGATCCTCCTACCTTGGCCCCCCAAAGTGCTGGGATTACAGGCGTAAGCCACTGCACACAGCCCCTGAATAACATTTTTAAGAAACATAGATTGGGCCAGGCACAATGGCTGAGCCATCTCAAAGGCATGAACCACCATACCTGACTTCTCCAAAGGAATCTTATAATTGATCAAGAACTTCATTTGTTCAGTTAGACACATATTCTTTCCATCCCATAGAGGAGAAAATTGAGGCCCCAGGAGAGAAAATGAAGTGCTAAAAGTAACACAGGAAGTCAGGGCAAGAGGCAAAAAGTGCAGGTTATATCTAGGTTATTAATTCAAAGTTACAAGAATCATAGCATCGCCCTTTCAAGCCAGCCCCCCATCACTACCTCCTCCCATATCTGAAAGAGAAACACTACTTCTCTTGGCTGTTCTGCATGTCATTACATCCTCAGCCTGCAACACACTGTCTGACGCACACTGGCCCTCACATCTGAGGGACGAACACAAAATAGCTACTTGGCTTAAGGAATTCCAACCAGATGGGTTATTTCTCATGGTAGTTACGGGTGACTAAAATCATGCAAAATCCGACAAACTCCATCCTCTTGCCACCTCCTCCTCTCAGCTAATCAGGGTCATGATGTAGTGTGAAATTTATCATCATTGCCCTTCTCTTGTAGAAAGAGCCTCTGGATGAGTCTGGATGGATGATTAAAAATGTCCTTTCGATGCCGATTGTGAACAAGAAGGAAGAAATTGTTGGGGTGGCCACGTTTTACAATCGTAAAGATGGGAAGCCCTTTGATGAAATGGATGAGACCCTCATGGAGGTATGGCTTGCTAGGAGGTCTTTTGCTGCTGGGATTCAGAGTCAGCTTGCTGGGGGAGGCTGGAGGGGGATGGATGTCACTGCTCTATCACATGGGGCAGCAACCTGGTTGGTCTAATCCTGACTCAGCCTCATCAATCACTTTCTTTACTCTCACTTCTGTACTGCACTGATGTGCTGTCAGAGAAATCCACATTTCCTTTTAAAAAAATTGAATCGAGCTGAACATGGTGGCTCATGCCTGTAATCCCAGCACTTTGGGAAGTTGAGGCAGATGAATTGCTTGAGACCAGGAATTCAAGACCAGCCTGGCCAACAGGGCAATACCCCACTTATAAAAATAATAATAATAAAAAAAGATTTACCAGGCATGGTAGTGCATACCTGTGGTCCTAGTTACTCAGGAGATTGAAGTAAGGTCAAAGCTGCAGTGTGCCATGATTGTACCATGGCACTCCCTCCTGGGTGACAGAGCAACACCCTATCCAAAAAACATAAAAAAAAAAAACAACTCTGCCTTTTTAGTTTTATGTTCTTAGCAAAATTGAGCAAAAAAGTATAGAGTTCCTGTATATCCTCTATCCCCACATATGCAAAAACACATTCTCTTTTTGTGACGTTATTACATGTAAGAATGATGCTTTATGTATGTTAGTGCTTTACTTAAAGTGTGATCACATCCATTCCTTTAACTTAGCCTTGTAAGAGCTCTGCAAGGTGGGCAGCACATGGCTTGTCAAACCCATTTTACAGCTGAGAAAACAGAGGCTGAGAGACTCTTGCTATAAGTTTTAGTGTCAAGGTTAAGCTTGAGTGTTCTGTCTCTGATTTCTCCTTTCTTTCTTTTTCAGTCTTTGACTCAATTTCTGGGCTGGTCTGTCTTAAATCCTGACACCTATGAGTCAATGAATAAACTTGAAAATAGGAAGGATATTTTCCAGGACATAGTAAAATATCATGTGAAATGTGACAATGAAGAAATTCAGAAAATCTTGGTGTGTAATGTTCTTTCTTTGTTTCTACTCGAATAGAGACTGCATCTCAGAGATGTGGCCAGACTAAGGCAAAACTTGCAACTCCATGAGGGAACGCCTGGGCATAGGTTTGTGCGCTGTTCTATTTTTCCTGCCTAGCGCAGGGATGTAGCAGCCCTCAACATTTAATGAATGAATGAATGAATGAATGAGTGCATAACAGATAAGTGCCTGAGAATGGTACATAACGACTGCACTATGTGGCCTGGGGACAGTTATTCCTTACAGAAACACCTCAGTCTTGGGGTCAGATGTTGGCTTGACAGCTCTAGAAACTTCATTTTTTACTGTGCTCAGGAATGACTTAGTACTGGAGACAGGGCCAACCAGCCATAGCCCCTACTCTGAGAGAAAGCTTTATCTGGAAGACCAGTGGACAATGGTCAGCTTCTCAGAGCCTCTTTCCTGTGAGGTCAGCTCACTTAGAAGACCCTATCAAGCTGGGTGCAGATTACACCTGTAATCTCAGCACTTTGAGAGGCCAACGTGGTCAGATCTCTTAAGCCCAGCAGTTCGACACCAGCCTGGGCAACACGGTGAGACCCTGTCTCTACCAAAAAAAACACACAAAAATTAGTCAGGCATGTTGGTGCGTACCTGTAGTCCCAGCTACTCAGGAGGCTGAGGTGGGAGGATCACCTGAGCCCATGAAGATCAAGGCTGCAGTGAGCGGCGATTGCCCCACCACGCTTCAGCCTGCCTGACAGAGTGAGACAAAAACAAAAAGAAGAAAAAGAAAAAAGAAAGACAGGCTAATGTTTTTCGAGGGCATTTCTTAAGCTGGGATGATGCCACAACAAATTTGATCATTTCATCCCAATAACTGGTACATTTAGAGGAGAAAACATCCAGTTTGAATAAATTGCCTCATGGTTTGCTTGACTCCGTCCATAGTTTCAGCCAAAGAATGGGTAGTGCAACCTAGTGGGGCACAGCCTCAGTGAACCACTTACAAGTTAACACGTTTTGCTCTGGGTCAGGAAATCAGAAGCAAGTAACTGGGTCCAGTTCTCCCTCCTATGGCACAGAGGGACATAGGCCCAGAGAGAGAAGGAACTTACCTCAAATTGCACAGTAAATGAGAGGAAGAACCAGGACTATGGCCAAGGCCTCCTTACTCCCAGTCAGAACTAATAACAATAAAACTATCAACAACAACATTCTTTTATGTTAGTGTACTATGTGCCAAGCACTGTGCTAAGTGATTTATATGCATTATTTAATTTTACATATATTGCTCAAGAATGACTTTGCATAATTGCATTTTAATTTAGCAGTGAAGTACGTTTATTATCCTCAGTTTACAGATGAGGAAATTGAAGATCAGAAGCATTAGTAACACTGCTAGTAAGCGGCAGAGCTCAATTTTGAATGCAGGTCTCTATGGCTCTAAAGCCCAGGACTTGGTGCATCAGTGAATGTTTAATGGAATCCTCTTTGAGCTCGTGGTTCTGTCACAAGGACTTTGGAGAAAGGAGATAAGTGGGAATGGAAGAGGGGAGGCATTTTTAGGCTTTAGATGTTGTAACCTATTTTTTTCCCCCTGCCATTTTGGGCCCTGGCAGAAAACCAGAGAGGTGTATGGGAAGGAGCCATGGGAATGTGAGGAAGAGGAGCTGGCTGAGATCCTGGTGAGCTGAACGGGGGCAGCGCGAGTCCTGATGTATAACAAGTCCAAGGTGCTCCTGAGCGTGCACAGGTGTCTCTTTGCAAAGCATGATCCCCATCACTCTGTTCTGATCCCTCCCGCAGACCCAGCATGGGGACAGGCCTGGGCAGGAGGTGGGCACCCAGAAACACTTCATGCTTCCTAATCACTTGACTCTACTCTTATACAGCAAGCAGAGCTGCCAGATGCAGAGAAATATGAAATTAATAAATTTCACTTCAGTGACTTGCCCCTAACAGAACTGGAGCTGGTGAAATGTGGAATACAGATGTATTATGAGCTCAAAGTGGTGGATAAATTTCACATTCCACAAGAGGTGAGGTCAAAACAAACATTGTTGATTTCCACTTTTCATTTTCTTTCTTGCTTGCTTTAAAAAAAGCAACAACAAAAAATTCAATCTGTAAACTACCTTAAAAAGAATGTATCCTCAGCATTTAGGATTTAAAGAATTAGTCATGTTGCACAGATGAGTCATTTATAAGAAAAGAGACACACTGTTCCTCTGTGTCCTGTGAAGTGTGATGTTTTGGGTGCACTGGTTTCTTGCAGTGAGTTCTGAGGTAGTAAGCTCTGAAGGCTGGGAATAGATGTGCTGCAAAAAAGGGATCCTATAGTTAAATAGGGGCAGAAAATGTGGTCTAAACCAATTTAAACAGGGCTCATTCCCTGCAGAATTCCTTATTAAGGTTTGCTATGAATTTAGGGGAGTGGGGGACAGGCAGATGGTGTGCAGAATTTCCCAAACTCATTTGATTTGGATTAAAGCAGTGGTTCTCAAAGTGTCGCCCCAGACCACATCCATACCACCTAAGAATTTATCAGCAATTCGCATTCTCTCTCTCTCTCCTCTCTTTCTCTCTCTCTCTCTCTCTCTCTCTCTCACACACACACACACACAGACATACACACACACTCCCAGCTCTGAAGAATCAGAAACTGTTTTAACAAGTCCTCTAAGTGAGTCTAACGCACAGACAAGTTTGCCACTGGATAAGAGTCCTTTAGCTTCCCTTTCCTGTAGAGCCCCTGTTGGCTTCTCCAAGGACAGTTGCTCTCCAGGGCACGGTTTGGGAATCACTGATGAAGCTGGGTCCGAGGAATGACTCATGCTCGCCTCCTTTCCTAACAACAACATCCTCATAGCATTTAGCAGTTTGCAAAGCACTTTCACAGCGTGATTGCATCTATTACAAGTCCTTACCTCCTGGTCCAGTGAACCAGTTACAAGTTAACAAATTTTGCTCTGGGTCAGGAACTCAGAAGCAAGTAACCCTGGCACATGGGGACGTAGGCCCAGATGAGAAGGAAATTGCCTTAAGTTGCACAGTAAATGAGAGGAAGAACCAGGATGATGGCCAAGGCTTCCTTACTCCCAATCAGCAATGATGGGAGTTGGAGGACCTCCAGCCTCAAAAGAGAGGGCCATGGGCCATGCTTTCTGCATGTTTTTGTTATTCTAACCATCAGGAGACCATTTCATGTGTGTCCTGCCTCACTGATACGTATGTGTTCACAGGCCCTGGTGCGGTTCATGTACTCCCTGAGTAAGGGCTACCGCAAGATCACCTACCACAACTGGCGGCACGGCTTCAACGTGGGCCAGACCATGTTCTCCCTACTGGTGGTATGGCGGGGCCGGTGGGGCTGGTAGGGTGGGCGTGCATCACAGCAGACTCTACATGGTAGCAACAGCATTGTTCTTTCTCTATTTATTGCCTTTTAAGAATTATGTGAAAGCAGTGTAGGCTTTTGTATTAAAAGGATTTTAAGAATAGAGAGGCATATTAAAAAAAAAAGTGAAAGAAATCTGCAAGCTACCCCCAACCTCAGTCTGGTTATTTGGGAGTTACCCCGTCACATATATTAAAATAGTTCAACAGTTCAGTTGGTCATTGGTCATAGTCTTTGTTTGGGGCATAATGACGGTTAGGAACATAGTTCATTTTTAAAAGACATGATATAAAGAGGTATCTCTTTCTGTAGTTAGCCTGGTAATGCAAGTCATAATCATTTGGAAATCCACTTTAAAAAAAAAAAAACAAAACATAAGCCGAGCATGCTGGCTTCCGCCTGTAATCCCAGCACTTTGGGAGGCCGAGGCGGGTGGATCAGGAGGTCAAGAGATCAAGACCATTCTGGCCAACATGGTGAAGGAACCCTGTCTCTACTAAAAGTACAAAAATATTAGCTGGAGGTGGTGGCACGTGCCTGCAATTCCATCTACTCGGGAGGCTGAGGCAGGAGATTAGCTTGAACCCGGGAAGCAGAGGTTGCAAGCTGAGATCACGCCATTGCACTCCAGCCTGGGCAACAACCGTGACAGTCCATCTCAATAAATAAATAAATAAATAAATAAAATAAAGATTAGAAAACCTTGGAATAGAAAAGTTTGCCATTCGCCATTCAAGATGCCTGCAAACCGCCTGTTAGCTGCTCCCATAAACACATCACGTGTTCTTTTCCCCAGAGAAATTTTCTTACATTTCCTTAAATTGTGGCAGTGTCTAGAGAAACAGCAGTATCAGCCACCTTTCACATTAAGCTTCCTGTAGTACTCAAATCAGGGAAAAGATAAGTGCCACATTCGATTTGGTTCAGCACCATACGCAAGCCAACAAGGCCAAAGAGGCGGTCTAAAGCTGCATCCTGTTCCATTAGGTGTTTCCATGAATCTCATCCACATTTTAGAGAGTTGCTTCTCCCCGTCTGAACCCTGGGAGGCCTGATTGACTATATAAAATCCAAGATTTCCCTCCAATGTATAATTAGCTTCAAATTCCCTATAACTGGTACCCCTCCACCAGCAAGAGTGAGCCCCCAGGAACCCCACTGAAAACTTTCCTCAGTAGTAATTTTGGTTATCAATTGCTTTGGCCTTTGATTGTGGGAGCTATTATGGGAACTTTCAGGGAAAGCTATTTGGGAGCAAGGAGTGAGCCTGGCCAAATAGCAAGTTCTGCGCCAGCAGGGAGAGAGAACAGAGTAAGCAAACCCAGTATAAGCCCTTTGGGACTGGAAAAGAGGCCACCTAGTGGTGCTTGAACAGAGTTCAGTTGAGTTTGTCAGCCCGTAAGTCTGCATAGCTCCTGAACGGGGTCCAGTGGGACGACACTTACTTTTTTGTGGTCCCTTCATATCATATTGTAAGGTTGCATAACCACATTTAGTGAAAGAAGCATTACTGGATTTAATCCTGTGACATGCTACAAGCAATTACTCCTAGCCACCTGGGTAGTTTCCAGGTCTTGACTACACAATACCTGAAGGCATGATATACCTTTGATAGGCATCACCCAGACGGGTTTTCTGTATTTGGCAGTGATTAGGTTATTAATTAGAAAGGTCAGAGTGCTGTTTCCTTCATGCTGGCAGAGAAGTCTCGATCTATGATCTTGGGAAAACTGTCCCTATCTAGAATGCCATCTGTTTCTAGGGAAAACCTTCCCTGGTTAACTTTACCTGAAGGAGGCCAACAGGCATATAGTTCCAGGAATCTGGAGGGAACTTCTGAGTTGAGAGATGGAGATCCAAGACTCAAGGTCCCGCGGTTTTGCGGTAGAGAAGAACTTGGTATGGTCCCTTCCAGTGGAGTTGAAGAGCAGTCTTCCTTTGGTGTCATTTCCAAAAGACCTAATCTCTGGGTTCTATATCATGAAAGGTCTGGTTGTCATCAATTGGTGGGTCACAAAGAGCTTCTTTAACCTGATGAAAATATGCTTTGGCATAATGCAGTAAAGCCCTGCAGTACTGAGTCATGTCAGAGTTTATAAGAGTGGAAGATACCTGGGCACAATGGTTCACGCCTGTAAACCAGCACTTCCAGAGGCCAAACTGGGCAAATCACCAGGTCAAGAGACGGAGACCATCCTGGCTAACCCGGTGAAATCCATTCTCTACTAAAAATATCAAAAATTAGTGGGGTGCGGTGGCATGCACCTGTAGTCCCAGCTACTGGGAGGCTGAGGCAGGAGAATCGCTTGAACCCGGGAGGTGGAGGTTGCAGCGAGCTGAGATCGCACCACTGTCCTCCAACCTGGGCAACAGAGGGAGACTCTGTCTCAAAATTAAAAAAAAAAAAAAGGAAAAAAAAAGAGTGGAAGATAAATGAGGTTCTGTTATCAGGGGCATACATCTTCCTGCAACTGTTCCATATGGGGTCAATCTGTTTTCTGGCAGGAGTGGATCTGATTGTCATCAATTGAGAATACCTTTCACCAAGGCAATCCAATTGATTCAGTTAGCTTTGCCAAACACAATTGTGTTTATATCTTTGTAAACTGTTTTACAATTTGTCTAGTGAAATGAGTACCTCTTTATCTCCATCTATAAATTTTATACAGGTCGGGCATGGTGGCTCACGCCTGTAATCACAACATTTTCGGAGGCTGACATGGGTGGATTGCTTGAGCCCAGGAGTTCAAGGTCAGTCTGGGCAACATGGTAAAACCCCATCTCTATAAAAAATACATATATTAGCCAGATATGGTGGCACACGCCTGTGGTCCCAACTACTCAGCAGGTAAGGCAGGAGGATCCTTTGAACACAGGAAGTCGAGGCTGCAGTGAACCGTGATGGCACAACTGACCTCTACCCTCGGTGGCAAAGAGAGAGATTGTTTCAAAAAAAAAAAAGGAAAATGTTGTACAGTTTCTGAAACACATATCAATAACACATCCACAGACTATAACTGAAACCAAGTGTAGCATTATTATTTGACAGTGCTTCCAGAAAAGTCTCTGGAGATTTTCTCAGGAATTCCCCATAAGGAAAAAATATTTTTTAAGTTTTTTTTCTGAGATGAACTCTCACTCTGTTGCCCCGTCCTGAAATGTGGTGATGTGATCATAGCTCAGTGCAGCCTCAAACTCCTGCGCTCACGTGATCCTTTCACCTCAGCCTCTGAAGTAGCTAAAGCTACAGGCATGTACCACCATGCCGGACTGATTTATTTATTTTGGGTTTTTTTAAGAGATGGGGTCTCACTATGTTGCCGTGATCTTAAACTCCTGGCCTCAAGTGATCCTTCTGCTGCAGTCTCCCAAGTTGCTGGAATTATAGACACAAGCCATTAAACCCAGAGAAAAAATATTTTCTAATAGCTTTTAAAGTGTTATAGTATAGTGCTATAACATTAGCCTTCCTGTATGTGAACAGTTCTATAAAACCAGAAAAGATGCACGGAAGGTGGCAGTTTAGTGAAATCCATCTGTAAGTGTTCAGATAATCCAATGGGTGCCGGAAATGTGTTGCCTGAGATTTTTATTGTCATGCTAGCATTATGAGTTTGACAAATCAAACTTTTTTTTTTTTTGAGATAGGGTCTTGCTTTGTTGCCCAAGCTGGAGTGCAGAGGTGTCATTATGTCTCACTGTAGCCTTGACCTCCTAGGCTCAAGAAATCTTTCCATCTCAGCCCCCCAAGTAGCTGGGTCAGTGGGCACTCATCACCGTACTGGGCTAATTTTTAAGTTGTTTTGTAGAGACAGGGTCTCACTATGTTGTCCAGGCTGGTATTGAACTCTTGGGTTCAAGTGATCCTCCTGCCTTGGCCTCCTAAATATTTGAGATTTTAGGTGTGAGCTACCATGCCTGGCCCCAAATATTTCTTAAAACCATTTTGGCAATTATGTTTATTTATTTAGCAAGGGAGTCTCACTCTGTCATCCAGGCTGGAATGCAGCAACATGATCTCGGCTCACTGCAACCTCCACCTCCCAGGTTCAAGTGATATTTCTGCCTCAGCCTCCCAAGTAGCTGGGATTACAGACACATGTCGCCAGCCCTGGCTAATTTTTCTATTTTTAGTAGAGATGGGATTTCGCCACATTGGCCAGGCTGGTCTCAAACTCCTGACCTCAAGTGATTTGCCAGTCTCAGCCTCCCAAAGTGCTGGGATAACAGGCACCAGCCACCGCGCCCAGCCCATTTTAGCAATTTTAGAGCAGTTACCCTGTCAATATTTTGTCATAATTTCTGTCATTTTATGTCTTCCATGATGACTCATGGAGTGCAGGAATCTAATAATGGAAACTTTAAGGACTCATTAAGAACCAGCTGGCTATTGGGGCTCTCCATAACTCCACACTTAACATTGGATTTATATCCTTTTAAACACCAATTTTGTTCTCTAATTCAGGTGCATAGAACTGTTTATTAAATAGGTTATCATGGGTAATTTGACTTGGATCCATCTTGTAGAGTTCATTTAAATTGTATATCTTACCAATTTCCGTACTGGCTGACTTAGCATAAAAATCTACCAAATTAAAAAAAAAAAAGTCTACCAAATTTTTTTTTTTCAATTATTTTTTATTCTGCTTAATATTGAGTTTCCAGTTTTACGAACCAGTCCGTTTCTTCATTGGAATTCTGGGAATTCTCCCCCAGTCCAGTGGTATGATCTCATGAAGATGAAACACTTTAGGCTGATAGCTGCTCAGAAAGCAGCAGAGTGAAAAACCGTCTGTGGATGACGAGACTTTACATGGTCATGGTTAAAGACCTCATGAGCGTTCATTACAATAATGACACAATTGACAAGGAAATTTGGTTATTTCTGTCACAAACATTTTAAGACAATAACTAAAATTGTGACTGACAGTGTTATACCAGGAATACTAGATTTCTGTGAATTTTATACAGTTTTGAAACACATTAATAACATCCATAGAATATAACTCAAAGAAGATTTAGCATTAATTGTATTTGACAATGCTTCTCATATAGTTTAATATATCAAATAAGGCTAATTAGTTTAATGTCTCTCTTTTTACAAGAAGAGATATCTTTTTAAGATGATCCAAGGGTTCATCTGAAAAATTCCAAAGTTAATTTGCAGTCAAGAAAAATACTTATTTTAGAATATTATTTTGGGGCTGGGTGTGGTAGCACATGCCTATAATCCCAGCACTTTGGGAGGCCAAGGCGGGCGGATTACTTGAGGTCAAGAGTTTGAGACCAGCCTGGCCAACATGGTGAAACTCTGTCTCTACCAAAAATGTTTTAAAAAATTAGCTGGATGTGGTGGCATGTGCCTAATCCCAGCTACTCAGGAGGCTGAGGCAATAGAATCACTTAAACCCAGGAGGCAGAGAGTGCAGTGAGCCGAGATCACGCCATTGCACTCCAGCCTGGGCGACAGAATGACACTCTGTCTCAAAAAAAAAAGAACACGACTTTGGGAAGTTTCTAAAAAATATCAAAGGTTTAAAATGCTTTTTCTTTGTTTTCGAGACAGAGTCTTGCTCTGTCACCCAGGCTGGAGTACAGTGGCATGATCTTGGCTCACTGCAACCTCTGCTTCCTGAGTTTAAGCGATTCCCCTGTCTCAGCCTCCCAAGTAACTGGGGTTACAGGTGTGTGTCACCAGGCCCAGCTAATTTTTAATATTTTTAGTAGAGATGATATTTGACCATGTTGACCAAGCTGGTCGCCAACTCCTGACATCAAGTGATCCACCCTCCTCAGCCTTCCAGAGTGCTGTGATTACAGGAAAGAGCCATTGTGCCCAGCCCAAAATAAGATTATTTAGCCCAGTGTTGTGGCATGCACGAGTAGTCCCAGCTACTCAGGAGGCTGAGGTGGGAGGATCATTTGAACCCAGGAGGTCCAAACTACAGTGAGTTGCAGTTGCACCACTACACTCTAGCCTGGGTGACAGAGGGAGACTCTGTCTCAAAAAAGAAAAGAAAAGAAAAGATCACTGTGAACAGTAGTCATTCATTTGACCAAAGTGATAAATAAAAGACTTCAAAGGCAAACACAGAAAGTTACATACTTATAAAAAGACCTTAACCCTTTTAGTAAAGAAAACTCAGTTTTCTTAAGTGATCAAAAACCTAACAAAGACAACCCGGAGCACAGGAAATTAATTTGATAAGGCACAGAATCTTTGTTTCCTAGGCCAATTACCTAAAAGATAAATTTCCTTTTAAAAGCAGACCAATACTCCAAGAAAGCTTTGTTGTTTTAAAAGAGAGGTCTAAATTCTAGTTTTGCATCAGTGTGTGTTGGACATTAATGTTCAAGATAGCGTTAATATCAAAATGTTAGAAAAACTTAAAAATAATTTTCTTTCCATCTTAGCCAACTTAATGACACAAGTAATTACTGTCGCCAGATTTATCCTCCACAAGCCTTCTACAACTTTCTTATCCATTCAGCTTTTGTACTGTACTTTTTCCTCTTCTCATTTTGGAACAACCAGTTATCTTACTTTAGGACAAAAATTTCTCTTTTCCCCCTTAATAAAATAAAGCATCCTCATATTGTATAGCTTTTTCTTACCCAAAGGACTTTTTGCCTTCTTATATAATTGCTTATAGAATTGTTTCACTTATTATTTTTAGTAATAATATATTAACTACTAGTTATTATTATTAATATATTAATTAAGGGTTAAGAATTATAAATAATATAGAAATATGTTAATATATCCCTACATTAATTAGGAATTTGAACCCTTAATGACCTTAATTTCCAGTGAACACTAGGAAGCAAGCAAAAATTGTGAACTGTCTGTCACACCAGCAATCTGTAGGTCAACAGTCTGTGAATAATAGTTTCTAGAAGCATCTACTTTCCCATAGTACAATCTGTCATTGTGGCACAGAACATGTTTACTAACAGTCCCAAATATTTTTAGTCTGTTGGTAATAAGAAATTGTAGAGGAGGCAACATTTAATCTCTATCCTCTTGGATTTTTTTTTTTTTTTTTTTTGAGACATGGTTTGCTCTGTCACATAGGCTGGAGTGTAGTGTTGAGAACNCGTGGCTCACTGCAGTCTTGACCTCCTGGGCTCAAGCGATCCTCCCACCTCATTCTTCCAAGTGTTAGGTTTTGAAGGGAAAGTGAGGGTTAAAGAAAGACACACGCAAACAGAAAGAGGGCAGCTCAACAGCAAATGCAGGCTTTATGTCCAGCATAAAACCTACAGAAGTGGGGACCAGCCTAATGCCAGAGCCCACTGCTGCTTATAGGATATAGGTATGGGTGGGAGGGGTCTGGGCAGTATGGCTTGTTGCCTGGCAGGATGTTAATAGATGTTCTCATGATGAGGCAGCTGCGCCCTTGTCCGGGAGGGATGCCATCGTGGTATTTCTTGGACTTTTACCCAGCCAGATATGCTAGGATGTTTCTTTAGTTGGGCCTTTGTCTGCCTTGTGGTCAGGTAGTTATGCAGGATGTTTCTCACGGCCCAAACCCCTGTGAAAAGTTTCACTTTGACCAAGTTCTGTAAAATAATGGGGAGGTTACAAAATGGTACAGTTTGGACTAATACCAAGTAGCTGGAACACAGTATGCGCCACCATGCCCAGCTAAATTTTTAGTTTTGTAGAGACAGGGTCTGGCTGTGTTGCCTAGGCTGGTCTTGAACTCTTAAGCTCAAGTGGTCCTCCTGCTTCAGCCTCCCACGGGCTGGGATTACAGGCGTGAGCTGCCACGCCTGGCCCTATCTTTTATTTTGTTTCTTTCATCTTGGCTATTCTATGTACCTCATATAAGTGAAATCTTACAGTATTTATCCTTATGTGTCTGGTGTATTTCACTTAGTATAATGTTTTAAAGCTTATCCATGATACAATTTATGGCTGCATGGTGTTCTATTGTTGGACTTGGAAATGTTTTCAGTCTTTCACTATTACAAACAATGCCACAATATCCTGGGAGGAACTTATCTTTGTGTATTTGTGTCCGTATTTTTGGCTCAGAAGATCAGAGACTTTTATGTTTTAATTAAAATTATTTCCCCTCCAGATCATGATGCAAATCCCTGCCCTTCCTCATCCTCATTCCTTCCCCCTTGGCTGAAATGGTCAGGCCAGAGTGGGTGCTAGGGCCAGAAGCAGGAATTCTGACCAGGCTATCATAGAAGGTAGCAAGAACACCACGAAGAGTGATTTCTTTCTTAAAGTCAGCGTCAGCTCTCCAGAGAACTTTCCCACATTTTGTTTCAACATCCAGCATCAAGGAGTTAAGTGTCTGGCAGAATCACAAGGAAGGATTCCTCCAGGCTGTGCTTAAACCAGTAGACCTGTTTTGGAAGTTTTGTTTTACCAGTCCAACCAGATCCTAAAACCTGACATCTACAAGTTTCTCAAAAATCACCTAATCTAATATGTTCCACCCCCCGTTTGTAGATTGGGCTACTGAGGTTCAGAGTGAGATGAGACCAGCTAAGGTCAACTCAGAAACAAGGTGACCAGTTGTCTCCATTTACCTGGTACTTTCCCCATTCTAGCACCGAAAGTCCCACATCCCCAAAAAACCCCTCAGCCCTGAGCAGTCCTCCGGTCAGCCTCCTGGGCCAGGATACAGCCAAGATCAGACCCATGCTTCCTAGTTCTGGGCCCTCCTCCTTACATCCGCCTTTTCAGCCCTGCTTCCAGCCCCTACACAAAAGGAATGATTTGCATTCTCCTTGCCCTTCCAGACGGGAAAGCTGAAGCGCTACTTCACGGACCTGGAGGCCTTGGCCATGGTCACTGCTGCTTTCTGCCATGACATTGACCACAGAGGCACCAACAACCTCTACCAGATGAAGTGAGTCAGCCTCCCTCCCCACCCCCAGCCCTCCGGATTTATTATCCAGTTGTATGTGGCCTCCAGGCAGGCTCACTGGCCAACAGGGAAGTCTTGTGCTCCACAGATTCCCACTGCCTTCTGTCCCTGGGATCTGAGTCTCCTCCTGTAGCAGCCAGAATAACGACCCCCCAAAGATGTCCAGATCTCAAATCCCTGAGCTGGGGAATATGTTGTCTTATAAGACAACATATAAGATTTCACTTATATTCAAAAGGGACTTTGCAGATGTGATTAAGTCGAGGATCTTGAGATACAGGGAGTATTCGAGTGGGCCCCATGTAGTCCCAAGGGTCCTTATATAGGGAAGCAGGAGGTCAGAGAGGAGAGGCAGTGCTACTCTTTGTAGATGGAGGCACGGGCTACAAGCAAGGAGGTGGCCCCCAGAAACTCGAAAAAGCAAGGAAACAGATTTTCCTCTGGAGCCCCCAGAAGGAAAGCAGCCCTAAGTACCCATTTCAGACTTCATACAGAGCTGTGAAATGATGCATTTTATTGTTTTAAGCCATTAAGTCTGTGGCAGTTTGTTACAACACCCATAGAAAACTAATGCATTAAACTCCTTTCCTGTCTCCTTCCTCTACTACCTGCTGTACCAATTAGGGCCAAGATGTTAAGTAACCAGTAATGGTTCATTCATTCATCTCTTATTTATTTATTTGTTTGTTTATTTATTTATTTTTATAGAGACAGGGTTTCTCCATGCTGGGCAGGCTGGTCTCGAACTCCCAACCTCAAGTGATCCACGTGCTTTGGCCTCTCAAAATGCTGGAATTACAGGCATGAGCCACTGCACCCAGCCCTATCTCATATTTATAATGCTTCTAATATAGGTGGTAGGCTCTATGCTAGGCAAAGGAGGTGCTCCGATGAGCAAAACAGCCCCTGTCCTCACAGAGCTTATATTTCAGACAGCCCATGAAGCATCGTCCTTGAGCCATGATCTCATTGGATCCTCACAACCACCCAGTGGGCTGGGCAGAGCAGGGATTAATGTTATCCCTACTTACACAGGAGAAAACTGAGTCTCCGCTCAGGGCCCATGGCCTGTAAGTCATTAACAAGCTCTGAATTCATGCTGCTCTGACTCTTCTCAATACTTCCATGCTGCTCTGGGGCTAGAGATTGTATTTACATTTTACATTTTGAGACTCTAAATACTTAGCACAGTGTGTGGCACATAGTAAGTGCTCAACAAATATTTATTGAATTCAGAAATGAATATTCAAGACTCGGATATGAAGAATCAGGGCTAGATGATCTCGAAGCATGGGCCAATGCTAATGTCCCTAAAATCCTTTATTGCATTGTGTGTGTTTGCGGCTTTTTCTGGGGGAATGGGTCCACACTATTTAGTAGATCCTCCAATGAGTTCATGACCCAAAAGTAGCTTGGAATCACTTGTGGAGAAGGTTAAAGATGGAGGCAGGAGACTTAATATTTAGTCCTAATTTTCTATTGTCCATTCTGTATTGATTATCTCTCTCTCTCTCTCTTTCTCATTCAGATCCCAGAACCCACTGGCCAAGCTGCATGGGTCCTCTATCTTGGAAAGACACCACTTGGAGTTTGGCAAAACATTGCTCAGAGACGAGGTAGGATGAGGGCCAAGGGTACACCGGCTGCCGGGCATGGATCAGAGACCCCATCTCACAAGCAGCCTGAGTGTGCCCTGGAAGCATGCTTTCCATTGGCCTGGACTGCTTCTGCCATCGTCTGTGGCGGCCATTGGTCGATGGATGACTTTCCAGCATCAATTCTCTCCCATCTTGCCTGTTTTTTTGTTTTAGAGCCTGAATATCTTTCAAAACCTCAATCGTCGACAGCATGAGCATGCCATCCACATGATGGACATTGCAATCATTGCCACAGACCTCGCACTATATTTCAAGTTGGTATTTCTTCTTATTTTAATGGTAACAATGATTATATA